CTATCTATCTATCTATCTATCTATCTATCTATCTCCATCCATCCATCCATCCATCCATCCATCCATCCATCCATCCATCCAGGGGAACGTTTCTTCAATAACTTACTGTGTTAAAACCTGTGGCCACCCAGTGAAGCTTGATATTGGGAGAGTCAGAGCAGACAAAAATAACTTATTGAATCACAACATAACTATTTTGTGGAATTTATTGAAGATGTAATGATAGCCACTATTCTGGATGGTTTTAAAAGGACATTAACACATTCATGGAGGGTAATATAACTAGTTTTTCTTGCCTGTTTGTATCCATCTCATGTGGGAAACAGGATGCTGGATTAGCCTGACTTTGGTCAGATCCAGGAGAACTCTGTTCTTCTGTTTCTTTACTGGCTCAAATATATAATTTTCTTTCTCCATTAAAGTAACAGTAAACATTATGGAGAAATACTCTAAACAACTCATGTCAGGAAAATGGCCCTGCCCAAATCCATGGCATTTTTCTTCCAGTAGAAAAACAAACTCAATAATTCCACAGTATATTATGTAAACTGTATCTGCCTTTTTCCCACAAATGAGGCAAAACATATGCCCCTAAACCCACATAAAGCATGCAAGAACAAATATGTTTTGCAGGAGCTCAGTATTAATCAGCACTTAAAGCCATCTCCTTGTCACCACATAGTCATCAAATTATGCTACACTATATTCCTCTGTAGCAGTACAAGTGTCTCCTCCTTGGTAGCATGGAAAACAGTGAATACTAGACAAAGGGCAGCTTGTAGACAACCATTCATAAAGCCTTATTGAAGTGATACACAATATCCTGTCAAGTCTCAATATAATGTTGCTGTATCATTGAGTCACTTGCTTTTATTATCCATCAAAAGTCTCCAAGACAACTTCTAGCGCATGTTGCTCTTTTCTTCAGATGAAAAATTCCAATTCTGAACTAACTTTTACATATATGAGAGAACAGAATTACGTGGCATCTAATCCAGAGATGCAGGAAGGAAAAACAGAGGGGGCAGAGGCCTTTAAAATAATGTGGGAAACATCTTCCTCTTCTACAAAAAGAATTCTGAAAATTGCATTTTTCTGCTTGGATATTGGGCACCACTTAACCGTTACTTTCCAGAAATCTTTTCATTGTAATTTAGAGAAAAATCTTGGAAGAATGCCATAGCACACCACTTCTGTGCTACCCAGAAAACTATATGGACATGTTCTGGTAGCCACTAGGTGATGAACCTGACTCAGGGAAGTCTTTATCTTTATTTCTATAGCTTATTAAATATAATGGGCTCCCAGAGAGGAAAAATATTGGGAAGCTTCACTTCTAATAATGATTTTCTATGTCCAGATGATGCATTCTTCCAATCTCATCAAGGAAAGAGAGTGGGGTGGGAATAATAATTCCAGGGCATAAGCCAAGTTCCCAATTAACAGCCGTAAAAAAAATATTTTTGTCTTATAGACTCTTTGCTTTCCTTCCCCCAAAGCCAAAAATCCCTAAGCCTGGGCAAGCAACATCTGTCTTGACACATTCAGAGGAAGAGCATCAAAACAAACAGAATAATTCAATCCTGACCACAGGGTCCCACTGTCTATTTGTGGAGTAATTAAAAAAAGATGAGATTCACCACCAATTAACCTACCAAGTGCTAATTAGTGTTAATGAGGATTCAAGGCACTTGCTGTAGCTTGACCCAGAATGTCCTCCAGGGTTCCCTAATTGGCTGATGGTAAAAATGGGGCACTGACAGAGCAGGGAGCTTAAAGTGGATAGATGCAGGAGTCTTACTAGACAGACTGAGAGACAGACAGACAGCTGTATGAAATATTATAGAAACTGCACGCATCCATTCAGGTCTTAAATATTCCTGCCAATTCTTCTCCATCACTTTTCCACAACCAAAACTATAACAAGAACTGCAGCTTTTTTGAGCAATCCTAGCTGGGTATTGGTAAATAACTTTTAAAAACAGAAGTCACTTATAATGTACAGGAGACTTCTCTTAGGCAAACCTCGTCCAAATGAGCAGGATCACTGCTGATTTCCTCTGTGGCTGATTGCTTCTTTCTCATGCTTTTTAGCAGGACTTGCTTTCAAGTAAATGTGTTTTGAATTTCGGAGGCTGGAGGAAAGAAATGGGCCAGCAGCAGCTTGGGGACCTTAACTCAGAAAAAGATAGAGATATTCAATATTAAGTCAAAAAGAAAAAGGAAGTGTTGGGATGGGCAGGAGAAGACTTTCCTTTGTAAAACATTCGTTTTTAAAGAATGCTATGCCATGAAATAACTGATATTCTCCACTGAATATACAAATTGTTCATTGAAATGAGTCTATTCTCATTTCAAAATGCATGCGTACTTAAGGTATGAGCCTTGCATTTCCCCTCCGGTTCTTTTAAAAAGTATTTTATAGCTTTATTATCTCTATCTATCCATCAATGCCACGGAGAAAATCTATCTATATGGTCACTGGGAGTCGAAAATGACTTGATGGCAAAAAATCAATCCATCAATACATGTGTACATGCACTCTCTCTCTCTCTCTCTATCACACACACACACACACACACACACATATATATACACATACTGTTGCACATTATGGACACACACATTTCTATACACACATACATGTATATGCATGTAATTTTCTTTTGAATGTCAAGTGATCACTACGTATGTCTACTCAGAAGGGTGCCTCTATTTTCAATGCAACTTATATAAATGTACAGGATTGCAACCTGAGTTGGCACAGAGAGGCAGGATTTCATTTTCGTTCACACTTAGCCTGATTGTGACAGAACATAAAGCTCTAATACAAGTACAGGAAAAGGAATACAGAGATAGCACCTCATATTCTCACAATCATATATGAAAAAATTACTTTTAAAAACAGCAGCCTCTATGGTAAATGCATGACTTTTATGGTTTTCTTTAATTACCCCAAACCACTATTGCTACCTGCTGTTTAGGGCATGTTTTCATTTAAATACAAGGATGAATTACTTGCCAACTCTTCTTTGGTAAAGTTGCTAGTTCTTTAAAGTACACACAAGAAAATCTAACATGTAGGTTAGATCTGGGAGCCTGGCTTAGTAGTAATGAGATGGAGCTAGTTCTAACTCCCTTGTCCTAACTTTGCACCCTTAATCAATTTCCTCATAATTCCCATTCTATATTGGGCCCTGTTTATTCCATTTATTCAGTTGTAAAGGATCGATGTAAATCTAGACCAACCTGCTTCTCAGTATACAATTGATCTGTGACAAAAATGATGTACTGTATTCCACCTCTGTGACCCTGAGGATAAGAAGAAATGCTGTTCTTATGTGAATAAAAATTCTGATTTAATGGCTAGAATCCTCTTTTTCCTTTCCTCCTTGGACTAAGGCCATTGTACTTAGGGAATTCTGGGAATTGAAGTCCACCCATCTTAAAGTTGCCAAGGTTGAGGAACCCTGACCTAGAGCACCAAAGTATGTCAGCCAGGATACCTGCTGATGTGGGAGGAGGGGCTAGGGGGCTTCTCTTCCAGCGACTAGACAGGCACTGATATTCCTATATCCTGTCAAAATAAACAGGAGATCAATAACACAGCTTCCAAGGCTGGTCACACACTTTGTATCGAATCAGATGTAATGAGAAGCACAGAAAAGAATCCCTGACACAACTTTGTTTCTTGTTGGTCAGATTCATTGTAGAGACTGAAAGGCTCTCAGGTTTTGAATGAGGAAAGATCTGGTTGGTTGTGCCTGAT